AACTTTTTTTTAATATTTGTGCTAAAAAAAAAAAAAACAGCTACAACAAATACAGAAAGCCTGTTTTTTCCACAGCCAAAACAAGAGCTGTTGCACAATATTGTCTGTAATGCTGCAGAAAAACAGGCTCCTCATAGGTGTTGTTAGTGCTGGAATAACTCATGTCAATGTCATGAATGAAGGTTTACTCCCCTTAATTCAATGTGCTGCCTCAGCCAGTCTTTCACAACCAACCCATTCATAAAACTGCAGGGCTGAAGTGTGTGTGTGTGTGTGTGTGTGTGTGTGTGTGTGTGTTTAAAGTGTACGCCAGGCCGTGTGTGTGTGTGTGTCTATGCATGTGCCCGAGTGAGTGGATGAGAGGCTGTCAAAAGAAATCATGTGTTCACGTCGGAGAAATCAACCATTTTACCCGTAAACAAAACAAAATGCCGCGACAGCCGTTGAGGAAGCCTCGCCTCCCCGGAGCGAGCGCTTATTTGTGCATATCTGGCAGGCACCTGGCTGTTTTTGCACACTTTGTTGCGTAGCAGCTGTATTTTGGAAAGTGGAGAACACAGAGCTGCATGTTTCTCTTTTTTTTTGTGGGGGGGAAAGAGGGAGTCGGTGGAGGGAAGGAGGGGCTCGCATCGCCCCACGCTCCAAATAGGGCCTGATTGGGCCAGTTCTGATCCAGAAAAACAGCCCAAACAAGAGGAAGGCTGTGAATTCATGACAAAGCAGAACACGCCGAGCTCGCAGGGGCGTTCTGGTTGGAGCTGCGGTTACTGGGATTCCTCCTCCTTTAGCTTCTTCGTCGATCAACAGAAAAATCTGAGTTTTATGATCCTTTAGATCACTTTTTTTCACGCAAATGCGTCTCATTGTTGAGGATTTACTGGCTTCCCCTTGTCAGAATGTACATTATAGCTTATATAGCTTTGGGTTTTGGTCGAACGAAGCATTAAAAAACTTTTTCACACGTCTTGGACGTTCTGTAAACTAAAAAGTCGACACAATAATCACGTAACTCCACTGTATATAAAGTAGAGTATGGTAGAAATTAAGGAAATGTTTCAGAAATTGCTGCAAAGCATTAAAAAAACAAAAGAGATGTAGTTTAACACTGAACCGTGTGCTTGAAAGGCTTTTATTTTCTCCTCCACTTGCCAGGATTACAGCAACTATCAGAGCCATAACAGTAAAAACGTACATTTAAATTTTTTTTTTTTTCTTTACGCCATTTCCCATTATATTTGATTTATTTGTTTATTTCTTGTTTGTCTTGTTGTTGTGTTCTAGCCTACGAGTGTCTTTAAAAGCGCTATATAAGTATTATTATTATTACTAGAAAATATTTAAAGAGTTCATTTGCAGAAACAAATAACTCCATCGTCACAAACCTTCAGAAAACTCACTTTTCCATCGTCTACCTGAGACAACATCAAACTTAAGTTGTCGTTTCTACTGAGTCAAATCCACTCAGCTGCAGTTTGATTGATATTATCTCAAGAAAACAACAACGTAAAAGTTTTCTAGAAATCTACAAAAATGGAGTTATCTGTTTTTGCAAATGAACTCTTCATTTTCAGTTTTTTTTTAATCAACTCGTGAAAAAAAAGGAACCAAATCCGAGCTCAAAATTGCTCAATTTCCTCATTATTTTACACGTTATTTAAAAACTCTAAAAGATAAACTGTTCACAGTAATTAATTTCTGTAAAAAAAATAAAATAAAAATTCTGTGTTTCTCATCACACCTGAGCAGCAACCGACAGCAACGCGACAAAAACTGAGCGACTTTTCGACTGAACTGCAGGCAGTGTGTGCACGGAGCAAAGAAAAGCAAAGAAAAGTAAAACGTACTCGGACGATAATGATAAAGTACGCAGAGGTTGTTGGAAGACGCATTCAGCACGGTGAAACTCATGTAAGTAGAGCCAGCTAGGCTCCAACTTTTGTGTGTGAGTGCATGAAATAAATAACATTTCTGTTTTCATGATTTATGTCATTCTAACTTTGTCATACTGCAAAAAAAATAAATAAAAGACGTTTCTAAGTCGTCTCTCCTTCTCGTGCTGGTTCTTTTGTTTCCATAGAGGTGCAGGACTTTATATGAGCTCAGAGTGAGTAAAAAAAAAAAAGGACAGGGTTGCATGTAACTGTGATATTTAAGGACAACTGAATACAAAAAAAGAAAAGCCTCAATAAAAATCAAAAAAAGGATTAGGTGGATTTCGAAAGAGCCTTATTGCGTCGCCGTCTCTCTTCCTCCTCTCTGAGAAGCACTGTAACAGCATTCTACGGCCACAACTTCCCATATAATTACTGCAAGGCACAAAACTAAACAATCGTCCCACACAGCTCTAAAATCGCTGGATTAGTTCACATCTTGGAACACTCAATGCAGAGAGAGAGAGAGAGAAAAGGGAAAGGGGAGGACGGCGGCGGCGGCGGTGGACGGACGGACGGACGGAGGGGCGGGGGGTCCAGATTTTTAAATTTGACTTCGTTTGTACAGACACAGGAAGGGAGGGAGGGGTTTGGAGTATCCACTTGGAGAGCGAAAAAGGGGGGGATCTGTAGTACTGTAGGGCCTTTTTTATGAATGAAGACTGAAGGAGAGAGGCAGCAGAGGGAGAGGGGGAGGAGAGGCACACTTCCTTTTACGCACACGGGGAAGAAAATTTATGAATGGGTCACATCTCTCGAGCTGCTCCAAGTGTAAACAACATACTTGGAACAAAGAAGAGCGAGCTCCGGAGCCTCGAGAAGAAGAAGAAGAAAAAACTCGAGAAGCAAACCGTTCTAATTAAGTAGGTGCTCTATAAATTTGACTGACACCTCCATGTGGTTCTTCCCCGCAGGGGCAGCGAACGCACAAAGACATGTGTAACCCTTAAAACGCTGAAAAATGAATCGACTCCTGTGGGATTAAAATCACAACCTTTCTTCCAACTGTAGGAATTAGCTGACTCACTCTCTCGTGTTTCTGATTGTACCTTTTCACGAGGAGGTGGTAATCGAGACTTACATGGAGAGTGCAAAAAAGAAAAGTTTCATCAGAACCCATAAGGTGTGATTTTACTTTTCTATTCCTTGTTCTTATGCTATAACAAAAGACTGATGCAAAAAAAACACTGGAAAATAATAAGAAATGATTCCCTTTTTAATTTTTTTTTTAAATAATGAAGGGGATTTCTTCACTTCACAAGGATGACGCGACTCACTTGTACTATTTTGCATCCCCTGTTCCATTTAAATGGGACAAAGACGGCCTCATTTAGCAAAATAAAAGCACGCTAGACACCTAAGATATCGCCTCCCTGCATAAAAATGGAAGACTCCTTCACTAAAGAGTGTTTCCAAGACTCCCAATCAGTACAAAAAAAAAATATCGTTATCACCAGCAGCGGCTCAATTACCTTTACACACACATCCACAGGCAGGTCAGCAAGTACATAAAAGTTGCATGTTTGCATAACCTTCCCTCGGCGGCGGCGGCGGCACACAGAGCAACGCTTGTTAGCTGCGAACTAAAAGGCAGAATGGACCAGATGAGATAGATTTACCAGATGTGCAGGTATTGCACAATCCCTGCTTTGCTTTGCCCCCCTCTCCCCTCCTTCCTCTTCTGTAATCTAACATTCCTACATGTCCCAGTGCCTTTTTTTTTTTTCCTTCTTCTGTCTCTCAACTCAACGCCACACCCATGCAGGTAACAACTTGACTCGGTAAACAACAATGTTTAATTTGGCGCCGTTTTCAATGCAAGCCTCAATTATACTCGGGTCACCTGGGATTAGGGCTTCGCTTTGTGACCTTTTTTTTTTTTGTTGTTTTTTTTTCCAAAACAGGTGAGTCACCTGTTTTGAAATGTACTCAGAGTGCCTTTATGGGAAAAGACGGGGCTTTTTTTTTTGTGCTCACGTAGAACAAACACAAAGGTATTTAAAGTCGCCTGTCAGTTTCGGTTTCCCGTCACTCAGGGCTTTAATAGAGACGCTCTGCGGCCATTGAGGGCGATCGGCGGGGACACCGTCTGTCAACGCCCGAGCGTCTCTGCTGGGTTTAAGTGAGCTGCCCGTCAAACTGAAGCCCCCCCCGTGACCCTGCAAATCACACCCGGGTCAACCGTTAGCGTGGGCCTGACAGCTGATTGGCCGGCGGGGTTAGGGGGTTAAGTAGACGTGACCTCTGCGCTGCCCCGGGGTTCATCCGCACTTCCTCCTCCGCATTGTTGGCCAACAGACAGCGACAGTGTCACCGAGGGGGCTGACCAGTTGTTGGTTGAATCACACGACTGAAAAGGACGCACGGAGGAAGCTGCCAGTTTCGGGATTATTCTCCTCAGGTTCTCTTTAAGTTTGCATTCAGTGTCATTGCTAAAGATGGGGATGTGTTGAATGAGGGGGAGGGGGCGGGGGGCAGAAAAAAAAAGGAAAAAGTGTTTGCAGAGCGACACGTAACTCCCACCCAGATCCTGAATCGCCATTGTTGCGACAAGAAAAGGGAAACTCATTCAAATAGCCGCTCAGTTGTGCAGCCCAGGAATTTGCTTTTCCATTTTACACCTTCCGACACGCACAAAGGCCCATCTTTGTACCTGCACCCCGAATCATTTTTTTTTACTGGTTTCCTGGGCCGTACCCATTCAGGCTTTTCAAAGGCATGCAAATGGATGACGGCAGCACATAATGCCCGCATCCAAATTCGCTTCATGATGGCGGGGTCATTAGGCCTTCTGTTTCTGCATAGCTTTGCCTGCCAAACAGATTACTGTAACATCAGCGAGTTACAGTATCCCCCGTCTAAGCCTCCGGCGGCTTCACAGCCAAAATCTGAGCCGCTGCTTTCGTCCTCCACATGCACACTTTAGCACGAGCAAAAACCCAAAGACGCACCGTCCACGGCTTGACATCTGATTGAATAAACAATAAAAAAAAGATCTGATCTGCGCAATAAACAGCATGCTCGGATTTGTTTGAGTGAATAAATCCTCTCTGACTTGAAAGTACTCACAGTTCTCAGAGTGGAAATCAGGAACGAACTGCTCGTCGCTGTCAGGAACTTGAGCTGAAAAGAGAAAGAGAAACGAGAATTTTATTATCGTTATGGGTTTTTTTTTTGACAAAATCTGACCTTTCGCTGTCTCTTCTTTCATCGCCGTCTTTTCTCTTCCCCTGAAATCTGAGTCAGAGCCGGGCAGGGCTTCGTTCAGATGACCTTCACTTCATGATTTTTGCAGCATGCCAGCACTTTTCTCGTCCATAGATCAATTCACGAGAACACGGAGCTCCTGAATGAGATGCTAACCTGCCCGCCTGCCGGGGTTTCATGTAGCATTTAACATTTCTTGGCAGTATCGACCTTTTGCTAAAGCTTAGCAATGCAAAACAAACATGTTGGTTTTTGTGCGGGGCGAGTAATAATACAGTATTTAACATTTGTTTTCATTTAATTCCAGCAGTTTCTGTTGTCTAGAGCCACTTTTAAATTCACTATTTTGATAATGAATCAGTCATTTTTTTAAAGAAAGAAAGCAAAAGTTCTTTGTTATTTTCCTCCTCTGTGACGGTAAACCGTACATCATCGGCTTGTGGACAAAACAAGACATCAGTTTGGACTTTGGGAATCTTTAATCGACACAAACAACTAATCAGGAAAATATTTGCATCCCCAGAGCCACTAATGTGATTGGACTGTTACAAAACCATTTCCGTCGACGCGTCCGATCTGAAATGTGCAATTTCTGTCCCGTCGACCCAAACCAGTCCCACATCTGCACACTTAGAGGCGGTCAACACTGACCCTAAAGCGAGTTTCTGCTCATTTCCAGTGCAGAAAAACAGACAGACAAAACAGGCTGTTCTGGCTAAACAAGTGAGGGAATCTGTCAAGCGGTGTGACACACCGGCCAGATGGATTCTCTTTGTCCCCACAGCGCTGGAGACCGACGATCTAAAGAGATGTCTGGATTTCATCGAGAGGAATCGCTTACGGTCAAACTGAAAGCGGATGGAAAGCACGGGAAGAAGTGGAACAAGAGCAAATTAGGTTTAAAGCAGATCTATTTGTCAAAAAGCAGCTGTGAACGAACGTTTCCAACAGCAACTTCAATAAAGTGACGCAGAAATCTATGCGTCTTCTCTCTTCGTCTAAAAATAGAAGAGTCAATACTGCCATATAGCATGTGTGATATCTGTGTTTGCTTGCAGTGGCGTTCACTTTCCCTCTCCCGTCATAAAACTCACCCAGGATCTAAACTGAACGAGCAGAACCGGCGACAACAAGCCCAGGTGCAGCGGAGCTCGACAGACGCTATTGTACCAACCCATTCACAATTATCCTTTTGGAGCTTTTGGACTTTTGCAAACGCTAGAAAAAGCCTAAATCGTTGGCCTGCCAACTTCTACCATGGGGGTGAGGAGGTCAGATTCACCCACTGAGCCTTTGCCTACCCTCGAATTAATGACCTAACCCCGATGGCGGAGCAGAACCGCGGCTAGCAAACCTTTACATCTGGCGGCGCTCCAAATCCACCAGTTTCCATTGCTCAGGACTCACACTTACGTCATGGTACGAGCTAACTGGTGAGGAAAATTTGATGGCTATCATTAAATATCACGAACCCAATCAGGGGTGTAATGGGCTGCAAAAACACTGCAGGTACTTGAGCTCCGTTTGCTCACTAGAACCAGACAAAGAAGCCCTTTTTTTTCTTTTTTTTTCATTGTGGATTTAGACATTTGCAGAATGCGCCACGACTCTGCAACCAGACCTTCTGATTGTAACCTCACCCAAGAACCAAAATCTGACCTCAGCGGCCTCCACTCTCTCTCCCTCTCCCTTCATCCAGCGTTTCCAGACAACGACACACAATGCAGAAACCAAAACTGAGAGCGGCGGAGACAGAGGACAAAAAGAGGAAATAAGAAATTCAAATCCACTTTCTTGTCGTCACACTCCTCCTTCCTGTGCGGAGGAAACCGGATGACTCCGTTTTGGAGCATGTTCTGATAAATGACATCGATTTCTTATATAACGCCGCATCCTGTGGTTTACTATACCATAATAATATTACCCCCTTTTAACTTTTCAGCCTTTGCGCCCTCAGGGGGTTGGAGGGTTGGGAGGGGGGTAAAGATATAAAGCCGCCGTATGAGACAGAGCAGGGGCCGATATTTAGCTCTGCAGATCCAGCAATCAATCATTTCCACTAGTTTCAACATGTCCGGGACGGAACATGCTGGACCTCATAAAGACGCAGGAGAAAAAGGAACATAAATGATGAGACGCTATCCCCCCGGTGCATGTGTTTGTGTCTGCGCACTTTCCTGTGTGCATCTGATTTGTTTCCAGGAACACCTCGTCAGGGGCTTTGAGATGCAAGTCAGCACAAGAAGGAAAGTGTGTTTATACGAGCGCAGACGCATGTTCTCCCCTCGATGCTCGCAGGCACCTTGAATGACTTTTTTTTTTTTTTTCTTCCCAGTGGGAGATCCTGGGAGGAGCTAAAGCAGCCGCAGTCATATAAACCTAAAGGCCAAAATGAGACAAGATGTGACAAGCTCCTGAACTCTTGCCATTCAGAGCTTCACCCCTTTCTGTCTCTCTCCTGTTTCCGCAAGTTAAAAAAAAAAAAGTCCCTCCAGCAAACCAGCTTTTACAACTTTGGTGAATCCCTCACAACTGCAATCAGTCATGATACGGTCTTTAATTAATGCAACAGGAAAGGAGAGGTCTTAGCTGGGGAAGCTGAAAACAAGCCAGTACTTAGGGTTAAATAACGCTTTGATAACACTTCCATCTTTCTCTGCTGCTTTTTTTTTTTCCCCATCGCTGTGTGACTCAACAATAAGCCACCGCGCAATTTGTAAATCCAGGACATCGTATAATTTCTCCTTTTAAAAAGGGCTGGTTTATCTAATTATAGAAAATAACTACTTGTTCATTTACCTCCCGCGGTATCTCGTAGTCGCAGACAAAGTTTTGTTGTTTTTTTTGCGGCAGGATTTCTGGGAGATGCATCTGAAATTTAAGCCTTAACATAATACAATAGAGGAATAAAACTATGGGAAATTTGTATTTTTACATCAATTTTCAACTGAAGTAGAGAGTAGCTCCAATGAAAACAGAGTTGTGTGGATTATTTGGAGCAACCAGGACGTTATTTCTGCATTTTTTCAAGCTAAATTTTATTCACTTCTTGTTGTATCGCAGCCTGAGTGACAACAAGCTAACAAAATATACTTAAATACCTAATAACCACTGGTGGTAAATGGGGGGGAAAGGTGCACTTTGGGGCGGACTAAACCTTTAAGTGTGGCCTTTAATAGCTAAATCTGTGAATACAAATAGGCTCCAACTTTGAAGCGACACCCATTGTTGCGGTTTTTATTGGTTCGCAGCTCTTGTCTTTGTCCCGGTGAGACGCTGGCGTGAAGTGAACTTGCTGGTGTTTGACGCTGCATGAGAAAAAGGTGTGAAAGCTAACGTGGATACGCCATTGTTTGCCGTAAACAGTGGCTGGCCAGGGAGTGGGCTCCGTTTAAATGTCTGCCTGCTCTCCAGGCAGACAAAACCACTTCCACAGAGTCGGTGATTGCAAACGCCTCACTTCCCCAAATCGTAGATCTGTCATGAATGGCTGTGAAGTCAATATTAGGCCTCACTGTGCCGGTTTAAGGGCCACACAGGCAACTCGTCAAATGTAGAAATATGAAAGTCAGCTTTGCCTGTGACACAGCAACACTGACTCACTTCAGGAGAACAGCAGGAAAAAAACAAACACAAGTTTCTGCCATAAGTTTCAGATTCCCTGCAACAACTGACAACTATGACGACAAACTGTGTTGATAATCAGTCAGTTTAAGTCATTTTTTTAAAGAAATAAAGTGTAAATTCTCCAACTCCAGCTTAGTAAATGTCAACATTTTCTGGTTTCTGTTCTCGTCAGTGACAGTTAAACGAATATCTTTGGGTTGTGGACAAAACAAGTCCTCTGAGAACGTCATCTTGGGCTTTTGGAAACAGTGATTGACATTTTAAATCATTTTTCTAACATTCTGACAACAAATATAATCGTTAGTTGCAGCGGTAATAAAAAAAAAAAAAAAGTACTCTGCTCTAAGTAATAATTTGGCTCCAGTAGGTTTTTTTTTTTTCGATGTTTAATGAGCTGCTATAAAACTCTGTGAAAACGACCGACTCCCTCTCCTCCAAAAAACACAGAATTATGAAAATCCAAACTTTTTTTTCATGTCAAATGTTTTACTAAAGGACACAACATGTCTCCTGAAAAGTCTTTCTGCACTTAATATGTGCTGGAGGTTCCAATTTTCACGCCACTCTTGTTGGTTTCCAATAAGGCTGTTGATTACTCAGTTAGTTGTTTGGCGTGTGAAAGCTCAGAAAATGGTGAAAAATGTCAAATCAGTGCTTCCTCCAATGTCTTGTCAGCCCAAAGATGTTCGCAGAGAAGCAAAGAAACCAGAAAACAGACATTTAAGCGGCTGGAATGAAAGAGTTTAAACCATGTTTCTTAGAAAATTACTTGCAATAGTCGCCGATTAACTTCTACGACAAATCGTTGCCGTTTCCGAGGTAAGTCTGATATCACAACCTGCACACGCTTTAAAACCCGCCTGCTTCACTCTGCACGGCGAAGCTCAAACGTTCACGTAAAATAAAGTACGAACACACAAAGAGACAGGATTTATCAGGTCGACGTGGCTCGCGTTAGAATATAAACGTCGAAAAATGAGCGGCGTCTCCCTTTAAAGCGCCACATCAAAGCACATCAAAGCAACAAAATTCACACCTCGTGGTGGAAGTTCTCATTTTTACTCGCAGCTCATCTCGAGCCAGTCGGCGTCCTGCCTCGGTTACTACCAAACGCTCCACAGTGACTCACGCTTTGTGTTGTCCCCCCCCCACCACTCCTGACATACAGTGTAATTATTCTATTAGGGCTCACGTCATCAGTGCACTTATTAAGTCTACTAGCTGACAATTGCCTCCGACTGGGCCTCATTTCATCGCTATGTGCCTTTGAGTGACACAAACCAAATAGCCTGTTTGTTTGCATTGGCCGGCGGCTGGCACGCACGCTACATGCCAACATGGCCAAAATAGGATATGCTCAAAGCTAATAATGTCCCGTCTGTGTTCACTCTTTTTTTTTTCAGGGGTGTTGTATGTTTTATGAGGCATGTGTGTTGCGTCAGAAAGTTCAGGCTCCCCCCCAACAAGGCTGTCTGGAAGCTAAACCAGGGAGAACTTCTTCTTCAGGAGGCATTTTTATCACATTAAAGTCTAAGTTTTGACAGAACACCTAGAAGCCAGGAGGCAAAGTCAGAATTTGTGATGCAATTCTGGTTCACGGAGGCTGGAAATCGGCACAAATGCATTTCTGTTCCCCAATCTGTGCAGACAGACACGTCATCAAGCCTCATAATCATCGCAGAGAAGCACAAATTAAGAGGTAAAGAAGCCGACAGGCGAGTCTCACCTTCTGTGAGCCATGTCTCTTGGAGTTGGCTTAAATCCTGGAAGAGGTCTGAACAGAAACATGGAGAGAGAAAAGAGTGAATAATCACCACATTTGACACCATTAAACCACCAGTTTAACCACTTTTTTACTGACGATTATGATATCTAAGGGAACAGACTGCTGACATTGCCTGAGGTTCATAGACTGTGATGTAAACATGCGTCATTTAAAGGCCAAAACTGCGAGCCTCCAACTACTTTACCTTCAGATTCCTGAGGGGGTAATTCTGTGTCCATGTATTTCCTTTTCGCTGCCATCAACAGTCTATTTAGGGGCCCATTTCCTTGCGACTTCTGCAAAACCCATAGATGTTAGAACAGAGCAGAAGTGAGAAACAGACTCCAGCAGGGCATTTCCAGCACATCAGGGTCAAAAGTGTTAACAGCATTTTTTTTTCTTCTTCTTCTTCACTGTGGCCAAAAAAAAAAAAACCCAACACAAAGTGATGCAGCAGATGCAGAAAACAACAACAAGTACTGATAATAACAACGTAAATGAGCGCCTACTGCAGCGGGTGGACGTCAAGCTCCACAGAAAACAACATTGTGGAGGCAAATCTTGGAAAAAAACAAACGCGCTGCTTGAGCAAAGTGACCATTTGCCACCACATTGACACGCTCCTCTCCGACAAACTAGCACAGAACAAACGCGCTGACAAACACTCAGAAACACACAACATGCGCTTTTTACTCTTTGGCGATATTATGATTGTTTTTTTTTTGGATAGTTTCTACGCGGGGTTCACAAACACTTTTCTATCGCGCACACACAGCTGCTTCAGCCAAAACTCGTGCAGACGCGACGCGGAGAGAAAATAAAGCCCGGTAGTCATGAGGACGAAAACAACACATATATATATATTTGAAACGCACAAGTAAAGAGTTTCATCCATACGTACATTTGCTAAAGTGTAAGGCACTTGCTGGTCCAAATATCCATCCATCTTATAATCCATCCGTTAACCGTTTGTGGTCATTTAGGCAGAGTTGAGTGGGATCCACGCAGCCTGCAGGGAGAGGAGGGAGCGCAGCTTGTGAATGGAGCTGCGTGGAGGCTGCATGCATAATGAGCTCCATTCACAAAAAATGCCGAGGGGAAGTGATGGCGAGTGATTACCCAGCGGGCTGCGGCCCTCTTTACAAATCTCTTTTTTTGTGTGTGTGTCCGTGTGTGTGTGTGACAGACAGCTCTTCACGTTAAGTTTGTGGTACTTTTGCGCCACTTTTGCGCTGTTATCTGCAGGATAATGCGATTTTTTAAAAAATCGTTTTACTCGCGCGTAAAGTTGCGTTTTGTGGTTTAACAGCGCACCACGGAGCGCGTGAAGTGCGTAAAAGCGCGCATGGATCGTGCTTTCTTAGTGCTTTTTCTTTCTGTTTTTTTTTCTTTTTTTGCCACGTCTGCCACTTTCTTTAGAGGGAAACAGATGTTTTGTCGAGTCACAGCAGCAAAACTGAAACTGCTTCGACCGCTTCAAAAAATGCAGTGCTGTTCAACTGAGTTGAATCTGCTTAAAGTTGAAGTGTTTTGGCTTTTTTATCGCCAGCTGTGCTGTCATTTCTGCACCAGACATGATTTGGGGATAATATGGAGACTTGCTTTTCTAGTTCGGCCCCAGAAACGCTCCGTGATTGGTGGATTTCCTCTTTCAAGGGCTCGAATTTCTTGCCTTTGTCCGCATGAATACACTGACTTATGAATGAAGTCTCGGTTCCCCGCAGGAGCCAATCAGAAGCCGGGTCGTCGGGCTCCTAGCAACCGTGGGCGGACCCTGCGCCCCAGCAGCCAATCAGCTCCTGGCAGGCTGCGGGCTTTTATACTGGATTTTCCAGTTGTTTTTCATTCACAAAAAAGAGAGAGAGGGAAAAAAAACGTCCATTCATAAAAAAAAAAAAAAAAAAAAACCTGCCCTGGCACGAAAAGTCCTGACATGTTTTTCTTTTTCTGCCCGGACAAACTCAAAGAGCCTCACTTTGTTTACCTCATCTCATGTCTCCAACCCTCTACTTATGACAAACAGCGATGGCAGCCGCCCTGCAGGAGTCACGTACATCAAAATCGGAGTTAAAAGTGACGTAAATCAGCTCAGGAATATGCATTCTTGTGGCTTTAAGTCTACGCCACATGAAGACCACAGGATTTAAAGCTCCTCATGAACCTTTAGACTAACAGGAGGCTGAAATGTTAGTCGCTTTACTGAAACTATTCCAGCCACAGAGGCAGGAAACAAAGTTCTGATGGGGTTTGTGTTTAGTTTCAGCGGTGAATCAGATTCAGAGATGTAACAATGAGCTCTTCCTCCGCTCTGATCTGTTAATATTCAGCCTCCACAACAAAGGATGGGCTTCTGTACAGGTTATTTCCTGCTTAATGATATTTAGATGCACATTTAGATGTACACAACAGGCTATAAATATTACATCAGCTGTGCTCAGTACAGCCAGCGCCCATCAGTTTCACTACAGAGCGGGACAGGCTCGCGGAAATTAAACATTATGCTTGTTTAGTAGTTGTTTTATCAAATTGGAGCCACTCTATAAACTCCTCTGTTGCCACGAAGGCGGAGACAGTGTGGCTTTCAAGCTCGGGTTTGCTTAAAATGAATCCAAAGGGGTCAAAAGAGGATTAAAGGGGAAAATGGGAGAAGGCATGAGGCTGAAACTAACAATTACTTTCATTTTAAGTTAATCAGCCAGTTGTTTGGTCTGTAAAAGGTTAGAAAATGGTTAAAAGTGTACATCAGTGGTTTCAAAAGCACAACATGACGCCCTCAAATGTTGTGTTTTGTCCACAAGCCAAAGATAATCAGTTTAATGTCAACGAGGAGGAAAGAAACCAGAAAATATTTAACAAGCTGGAATCAGAAAATGTTAAGTCTGTGTAGATTCTTTGTCATTCAGGTCTTGGTAGCTTTAAGAGCCTCGGTAGGAGACAGTTCTCTTTTTGGTTCACCTCGTATCTAAGAGGCTTTTTCAGTGTTTTAAAATTGAAGGTAGCAGATAGTTGCGGACCTGGGAAGATGACGAAATGTACTTCACACAGATCCTCATATACTTGCAGGCACAGAAAGTAAAACATTGAGGTAATCACACGTTTCAACACGGCACAGCAGATCTTTATTGAGTTACTTGTTATAAGCAGCAGACGCTACAGTCTGTAAAGCATCCAAACTTTGGAGAAACATTCCTTAAACCAAAGCTAAAATAGTCCAACTTCAAGCACAAACTTTCTGAACTGTAAAATTTTAGTGGAACTTTTATATGCTTCCCTTCCACTGCATCTGTCATCTTCTTTGTGTCACCGTTTCTGGCGTGGCTTATTTAATTGTAGCTCTCTCACACTCAGCCATCACCACCCTCATACCTACCTGTCTGATGTGTCTCCTGATGATCAACATGCTCTCCTCACCGTCTGGTCTGGAGCCTCAAGAACCTAAAACTGAAATGTTAGAAACAGAATTAGGATTGTCTCCAGCATTTTGTGTTCAAACTTGCTTGAGCACACCACATAAAATAGGATGTAGCTTTTGTATTTATGGGTTCTAATTATTTCAGTACAAAAACATCCAACTAGAAATTACACGGAGAGCTCAACACTTTAGTGTAGCCTGACAAATGATCATGATGCAGTGACTTGGCACAGTGACTCCTGGTGAAAACCAAGAATTAGACTGGACTACAATAAACTAATCAGTTGTCAACTATCTTGATCATCTAATAACCCGTTTAAGTAATTTTGTTATGAAAAAAAAGTCTAAATTCTCTTAATTCCAGCTTATTAGATGTGAATATGTGAATAATGCTTGGCTACAGCCCGAAATTAGGCTGCAACTAGTTTGACATATAAAATATGAATCAGAATAACAACCAGAACAAACACAAAATATACTGGATTTTATAGCCATATCTTCTGGCTATACGATCCCATGTTTCACTACAGCTACCAGAAGTATTTTACCTGATTAACAGGTTCCTACAGTAAAGCTACCTCTTTAATGTTTAAAAAAATAAACCAGATTCACATTACTATGCACAGATACAGCAATTTGTATATTTCTCATTGACGTAAACATTCGTTTTTAGCTAGCTATTAGCCTACTTCCAACCTAAAGAACAAGCTTCTGCGAGTACAGACACGCTTCACATTTAATTATCTATGTAGAAAATATTTGCTTGACATTTCCTACATAATATTCCACCTGCTGGTTGACAGTTCAGCTCTTAATCTCTCTGCTGAAGTCTCCTCCTGTTGGAAATTAGCTTCTTCGTGTTAGCCTGCTAGCACGCTAGCTAGCTAAGTTCGGTTCATGTGTTAGCATAATTTAAGGCGAAACAGCGCGACGTGGTTTAAACGTGACAATCTGCGGGTTGTTCAGGAGTATATGTGGATGTTTTCCATTCACAGGGAGTCCCGCTGGTTTTTAATCATTCGTTATTAATTATTACCACAACTTTGAAAGACTCACCTGGAGCCCAAACCAGAGACAACTAGCCAAGTTTGACCGCTGCCGGGTCACGTGACCGGGTCAAAGGGCGCCGCTTGCGTCAATATTTTAAAAATTATTTATTTTAATTTATTTTAGTTTATTAACGTCCTTGGGCAGATGTGTGCCTATTGCAAACTTTAAAAAAACAACTTGTATTTCATTTGCTCTAATTAAAAAAAAAAAAAAAAAAGTAAAATTCTTATTATTTTAGCGGGGCAGTTCAGCCAAATGGGCTGTTGTTCATGCCACTAGCTTTGTGTCCATCTTGATCTGCTGGTTAGTTGGTGCACCACTTCCTAAAGTATCTCAGAAATTATTGTATATATATATAGACAATAAATTCTATAAAAACATTTACAGTGAGGAAAAAATGAATTCTGTTATAGTATTGTTTGCAGATGTGGACGTGGATGGAAAACTGTCCTTATCGTGTATTCACTGTAATTTACAACATGCAGACTTTTGTGAACCTCTATCAAACTCAGGAAAACACACAGGGCTCCTGTACATGTATCTAAAAGGCTGGGATTTTGCACTTTTTACAGATCTACATAAAGCAGCTGGTGTGGTAGTCATAATTCCTGAAGTAAATTCACTAGAACTCCTGTACGATGTCCGCCCATGTGCTGACAGAGCACAGGATTTCTGGAGAATTTCCTGTAATTGGGCAGCATCAGCGTGAAGCACCTTCTAATCAAGTCTGGCAGCAACTACTTTGAATACAACTCCTTTACTGGTGAATTTATACAAGTGTGGATTACTGAGAATTTCCTCACAAAGTCCGTCCACATGATAAAGTTAGTTGGTATTAGGCACCATTTGCTTTCTTGGTGCATCAACAGTTTTGCAGCACATACAGTCCAACGTGATCACAAATGAGGGGATGTACATGCACAGAGGGCTCGTCTGCACAAACTGTCACAGACTTGGGTGGATGATGAAATTTACGCTGAAAGCATGAATTGGCCTTAAAAACTGTCTTAACCCTGGAAAGTCCCTCCACCGCTAGCAGTCGGCCAGTTTTTTAAGATGGTTTGGCACAAACTCTTGCACAAAAACATGGACACCAGAGGAAGCATCCCACTGGCTGTCTCATCTCCTGACCGGTTTTCTATCGCGCCACCATGAGAGGGACTTTTGTGATTTGGATTGAAATGTACTGACGTAATTCTGATATAAAATTGGATGCATCTAGCAGTAGGTTTAAACTTTACAGCATATTGTTTTAGAGCCACATGTGAGCAAAATGAGTGGAACGTCTGCTTGTGTTTAAAGCTAATGATATGAATATGATATAACTACAAAAGACGGTAAACATTATGCTCGCTAAGCTTCTCCATGTCAGTGTGAGCAGGTTAGAATGCTTGTTTTTGGTTAAATACTTTTATCTTCTAAATTGTCTGAAATCAATGACACAGAGAAAGATAAATCATTCTTTGCTTTATTTGCGCACTAGTTATGTCTGCATCAAAACTAAGGCCTCTTTCTTGCATGAACTGATGGAAAAAAAAAGAGAGCTTGCATTTCATTTCCACAACCTAATTTTATCCCAACGTATCGAGGCATGACTCAACATTAT